CGCCCCCCCCCCCCCCTCCTTCATTCCCTCCTTCTCCCCCATTCCCGGGCGGTTCGAGCCGGTTCCACCGTCACCGATCCCCCCCATCTCCATCTCCCGCCGCCGCCACCCCCGAGGGGGGTTGCCGCCTTCATCCCCCGCTTCCCCGCGCCCCCCGCCTCACCTTCCTCAGCGCTGCCGCCGCTCGCTCCTACGGGGCTCCGCCGCTCTCCGGGCGAGGCGACCCGCAGGGCGCGGGGGCAGGTGGCATGAGCCCCCCCCCTCACACTTGGCGGGATGCTGAGGAGGAGGAGGAGGATGAAGATGGTGATGATGAAGAAGAAGGAATTATCCCTGGCTCTGCTCGCCCTCTCTACGTTCTGCCGGGGGGCGGCTCCGTGCTTGGCGTGCGTATGGGTTTTTTCCCCCCCCTTCCTCTACTTCACCCCTCACGGAAAAGGGGGGGGGGGATAAGAAAAAAAAGGTCGTCGGGCCCGGCGGGCTGATACAGGCGCGCGGCGCCCGCAGCCGCACCACACACAACACACACACCACACACACAAAAAGGGGACCTGGCCGGCGGAGGGATACCGCTGACGTCACTTCCGCCTGCGCGCGGTGACGTCACGGGGGCCGGACCCTGAGGCGGCTGAGGGAGGGAAGGGGAAGGGGGGGGGAAAATGGCGCCGCTGGGTCGCGACCCCCTCCCGCCCCTCACGGCTCTGCCCCTCATGGGTCCGCCACTGCTGCGGGGCCGAGGGGCTCTGAGCGGCTGAGGGCCTGGGGAGCGGCGGGAGGAGCGGCCGGCGCTGCCCCGCGGGCTGAGGCGATGCTCCCGGCCCGGTGTCCCGCGCTGGCTGTGAGCGGCCCGAGAGCCCCTCAGGGCCGGGCGGGCTGTGAGCAGCCGTCAGCCCCCACAGCTGAGGGGTGCTCGGGGCTCCTGGCCGAAATCTCCCACCTCAGGCCAAAATCGTCCAGCTGAGGGCAAAAAATCTCCCCCTGAGGCCAAAACCGTCCAGATGAGGGCAATAATTCTCTACCTGAGGTAAAAATTAGCCCCCTGAGGCCAAAATTGTCCAGATGAGGGCAATAATTCTCTACTCGAGGTAAAAATTCTCCACCTCAGGTCAAGATTGTCCAGATCAGGGCAAAATCTCCCATGTGGGGCAGGTGTTGGTAAAACAGCCCAAAAAAATGAGTGAAAAACAGCCAAAAATTGGAAAAATAAGAATTTAAATCTCTTCAATAATAAAGGAACAATCCCGAAATAATAATTAAAATATCTTTTTTCGTAGCAGAAAAATTTCCTTTTCCTGGTGGTTCGTGGAAAAAGCAGGGATATAAGAAAATGGGAATATTTTGGAAATTCCAAAATAAACATTCCCTCAGAGGAGGAAAAAAAAAAGGCAGATTCCTAAAAAAATTCATACTAAAGGAATTAATAATCTTTAATTTAAAAATTAATTCTCATTAGGGACAACCCCAGCAGGAATTAGGAATGAAATCCTGATTTTCCAGAGGAAAAAAAAAAAATTAAAATTTTTTTGAATTTTTTCCACCCAGAAAAGCCACAAAATATTTTCAAAAGTTGCTGAAATCCTGAGGAGAAAAAAATCCCTGGAAACATTCCCAAAATCCCGAGGTTTTGAACCAAAATCCCGATTTTTTTCAGCCAAAACTCCTCCCTCCCTCGCTATTCCCAAATTCTTTCTCCAGGCTGGAACAAAAACCCAGGAAAATTCGCAATAAAAAGGAGAAACACGCGGGGGAAAGCGGGAATTCCACGGAGGGAGAAGTTGGGAAGTTTCCCTTTGGCATTTTAAGGTGGAATTTTGTTTTTTTCCGCAGCCTGGATCCTCCCTCGGCTCCTCCTCTCCCGAACCCCTCCCCTTTCCCCTGGATTTCCGAGCCTTCCCCGGCTGTTTCTCCACAAAAATCCACCGAAACTCCGCGAATTGCCGTTCCCAGCCCGGTCCAGGATGGGTAAGAGATCCCAAAATCCCCCAACGACCCCAAAAATCCCGGGATTTGCTGCTTTTGGCTTCCCGGGGGTGGCAGGGGTGAAGGTCGAGCTTTTGCCTGGGTTAAAATATTTAAATATTCCCTAAACCCCCCCCGGGTTTTGACTAAGAGCTTGCATTCCTTCATTAAAATCCATTTTCCGTCGAATTAATTGGGAATTTCTAATCCTTAGGCTTCTAAAAACTGGGAGAAACTCCTGGAATTGCTGCTTGGGAACGGGAAAAACTCTTGGAAAAATCCTTAAAGATCAGATTTGAGCTTTTCCCCGACGTATTCCATATTTTTGCAGATAAATCCTTGATTTCCAGGATACTTTTCCTGATAATTTCTTTTTTTTTTGAGGACAAAACCTCGGATTTCCATGAACTTTGACTTTTGGCTCTGTGGAAAAAGTGGGAGGGGCCAAAAACTTGGAAACCGTTTCCAGGGAATTATTGGGAGTTCAAAGCAGAGGGAAAATAGCAGGAATTTTGGGATCAAACCCAGCCAAAAATGAGGAATTTTTAGTAGGAATTCTGTGTAGCCAAAAAATGTCAATATTCTAACAAAAAATATCCTGAATTTCCTGGAATTTTTTCACTCCCAAGTGGGATTTTTTTGAGGAATTTTTTTTGGCTCCGAGTTCCTGGAAGTCAATAAAAAACTTTGGGAATGATTGACAGGCCTGGAAGGACCTGGAGGCTCCAAAAAGTTGGGGATTGTGGAAGGAAATAAATCCTGGAATGCTCTGAGAAATGAGCTCCCTAAATTTCCTTGGGAATTTGGGTTTTTGGGGGAAGATCCCTGAAATTCCTGGATTTTTTTTTTTTCCAGTGGCTTCTCTGTTGTTTTCATTTGAATCTGAATTTTATTTTTCCCAAATTTAATCTGGATTTGCCTCCCTGGAACTTGCAATATTCATTAAATATGAATAATAAATATCCAAAGAAATAATAAATATTCCAAAGAAATTCCCATTCTTTCCAGCCCTTGCTAAAATCCCAAATTTATCCCTCCTAATCTGACACTTTGGGACAACTAGGAGAGCCAAAAATTGGGATAAATTCCAATGTTTTTTTTTTCCCCTGGAATTAACAAATCCAAGGCTCAGAAATTGGGAATGAGCAGTGAGAAACTGGGAATAAGGAATTGGGAAGGGGGGAATTCCATAGATTTAAGGCTGGGAAATTGGCAGTGAGGACCCAATGGAAGACCCCGAATTCCCAGGATTTTTGGGATGTGGGAATGATGGAATTCTGCCCTTTTCCAGCGGGAAGATGCGGATCGTGCGGGCCGGGCTATCCCAGCCCTCTGGAGGCCATGAAAGGCAAGTGCCGGGCCGGCATTCCCAAATCCCGGAGCTGCTTTGGGGTCGGGGCAGGGGAGGCGGCTGCGGGCTGGGAAAAGCTGGAATGCGGGCTGGGAAAAGCTGGAATGCTGAGGCCGGAGTGTGCCCGCAGGGCCCCGGGAGCGGCTGCTCTACGTGCCCTGCATCTACCGCAACACCGGCCTCGGCATTCCCGACTTCCTGGCCACCGTGGATGTGGATCCCGAATCCCCTCGGTACTGCCAGGTACGGGCCTGGGGAGCCCCGGGGATCCGGGGGAGTGTGGGGAACACGGGATCCGGGGGAACCTGGGATCCGGGGGAACCTGGGATCCGGGGGAACATGGGATCCGGGGGAACATGGGATCCGGGGGAACACGGGATCCTGAATGTGGGAAAATCCGGGAGAATCTGAGATGCTGAATCTGGGAAAATCCAGGGGAATCTGGGATCCTAAATCCAGGAGAACCTGGGATCCTGAATGTCGGAAAATCCGGGGCAATCTGGGACCTTGAATCCAGGAAAATCCGGGGTACCTGGGATCCTGAATGTGGGGGAACCTGGGATCCTGGATCTGGGAAAATCCGGGGGAACCTGGCATCCTAAATCTGGGAAACTGAAAATCTGAGGAAACCTGGGCTCACAAATCTGGGAAACCAGGACAACCCGGTGTCCTGAATCTGGGAAATGGAGACCCATTAATCCTGAACCTGAACACCCTGGGAGAACCCGGGATCCCAAATCCCGGAGGACGAGCCGGGCTGCCCGGTGCTCCCGCGGCCCCGGCGGGGCGGCGCTCCCGGCGGGGCGGCGCAGGCCGGGAGCTGGAGCGGGCCGCGCCTTGCAGGTGATCCACCGGCTGCCCATGCCGCACGTGGGGGACGAGCTGCACCACTCGGGCTGGAACGCCTGCAGCAGCTGCCACGGCGACCCCTCCAAATCCAGGAATTTCCTGATCCTGCCCTGCCTCGTCTCCTCCCGCGTCTACGTCGTGGATGTGGGTACCGACCCCAAGGCGCCCAGGCTGCACAAGGTTTGGAATTCCCCCTTTTTTCCTGCTTTATTTCCACACTTATTTTTCACTTTTTTCATCCTTTTATCCCGATTTTTGCCTTTTTTCCCCGCTTCCTTTTTTCCCCGCTGATTTGTTCTCTTTTTTTCACCTTTTTTCCCCCTTTTCCCCTCAAACATTCCCACAAACCTTTGCCCACAAATCCCCATTTTCCCCCAACATGTATATTTCCAGGAATTTTCCCCATTTTCCCCATTCCAGGTGGTGGAAGCTGAGGAATTTTTCCATTTTCCCCGTTCCAGGTGGTGGAAGCCGAGGAATTTTCCCCATTTTTCCCAGAATTTTCCCATTTTCCCCAGAATTTTCCCATTTTCCCCAGAGTTTTCCCCATTCCCCGTTCCAGGTGGTGGAGGCCAAGGAATTTTCCCCACTTTCCCCAGAATTTCCCCATTTTCCCCAGAATTTCCCCATTTTCCCCAGAATTTCCCCATTTTCCCCAGAATTTCCCCATTTTCCCCAGAATTTCCCCATTTTCCCCAGAATTTCCCCATTTTCCCCAGATTTTCCCCATTTTCCCCAGCATTTTCCCCATTCCCATTCCAGGTGGTGGAAGCCAAGGTATTTTTCTCAGAATTTCCCCATTTCCTCATTTTCCCCTCCCAGGTGGTGGAGGCCGAGGAGCTGGCCCGCAAGGCGAGCGCGGCGTTCCCGCACACCTCCCACTGCCTGGGCTCCGGCGAGATCCTCATCAGCTGCCTGGGGGATCCTGACGGCAACGGAAAAGGTTCGGAATTCCTCCAGATCCCACCAAACATCCCCAGGCCTTCATTCTCCTGCAAAATCCTGCAAAACTTGGAATTTTAGCACATTCCTGCAGTTTTTAATTGATTTTCCAGGCTGCTTTTATGTTTCGTTTAATTTTAAAAAAAAAAATGGAAGTAGGTGTAAATAAATAATTTGCTTTGTGTAAAGCAAAATAATCTTAGGAGTTACTATTGTAGGAAAAGATAAAATCCTGGAAAATTGTTGTTATTAGCAGTAATAAAATAATGGGAAATAATTTTAGGAACTATTATTATTATTATTGGTAAATATAATAATTATAATGTGCAAATAAAAAAAATTAATTTGCTTTATTTCAGGCGCTATAAATCTTTCCAAACTCCTTTTTTTGGGAATTCTTTCCAGGCACTTTTGTCCTCCTGGATGGAGAAACCTTTGAAGTGAAAGGAAACTGGGAGAAAGGAGGAAAAATCCCAAATTTGGGCTACGACTTCTGGTACCAGCCCCGGCACAACGTCATGCTCAGCACCGAGTGGGGCGTCCCCAAAATCCTGACCCAGGGCTTCGATCCCAAGGATGTGGAGAAAGGTCAGTGGGAAATCCTGGAAAACTCCATTCCTGACAGCAGAAACTCATAAAAACCACAATTTTTGACAGTGAAAACTTTAAAAAAATCCAAATTTTCACCTTAAAAACTCCTCAAAAATTCAACCTCCCGCCCGTAAAACCCCTAAAAAAAAATCAAAAAAATCCCAATTTTTTTCCTGCATCCCTCTTTTATCCCCAGTCTCTGTCCGAATATCCCATATGGGCTAAATATCCCATAAAAACCGGGAATTTTGGGAACATCTCCTCTTTCCCAGGGCACTACGGGCGCCGCATCAACGTGTGGGACTGGGCCGAGCGGCGCCTGGTGCAGGAGCTGGAGCTGGGCGCGGGCTCCGTGCCGCTGGAGATCCGCTTCCTGCACGAGCCGCGCGCCGCGCTGGGCTTCGTGGGCTGCGCCCTGAGCGGCCACGTGCAGCGCTTCCAGCGCGGCCCCGTGAGCCCGCGGGATGGGCTGCACGCGGGGCTGTTCGGGGTGGAACCTGCGGGAATCGTCGGGGAATTTGGTGTGGGGTTCTGGAGGGTGTGGGGCAGAACCGGCGGGAATCATCGGGGAATTTGGCGTGGGGTTAAGGAGGGTTTGGGGCACAACCTGCGGGAATCATCGGGGAATTTGGCGTGGGGTTCTGGAGGGTTTGGGGCAGAACCGGCGGGAATCATCGGGGAATTTGGCGTGGGGTTAAGGAGGGTTTGGGGCACAACCTGCAGGAATCATCGGGGAATTTGCTGGGGGGTTCTGGAGGATGTGGGGCACAACCTGCGGGAATCATCGGGGAATTTGGCGTGGGAATCCAGAGGGTTTGGGGCACAACCTGCGGGAATCGTCGGGGCTTTTGGCGTGGGGGTCTGGAGGGGTTGGGGCAGAACCTGCAGGAATCATCGGGGCTTTTGCTGTGGGGTTCTGGAGGGTGTGGGGCACAACCTGCGGGAATCGTCGGGGCTTTTGGCGTGGGGGTCTGGAGGGGTTGGGGCAGAACCTGCAGGAATCATCGGGGCTTTTGCTGTGGGGTTCTGGAGGGTGTGGGGCACAACCTGCGGGAATCGTCGGGGCTTTTGGCGTGGGGGTCTGGAGGGGTTGGGGCAGAACCTGCAGGAATCATCGGGGCTTTTGCTGTGGGGTTCTGGAGGGTGTGGGGCACAACCTGCGGGAATCGTCGGGGCTTTTGGCGTGGGGGTCTGGAGGGGTTGGGGCAGAACCTGCAGGAATCATCGGGGCTTTTGCTGTGGGGTTCTGGAGGGTGTGGGGCACAACCTGCGGGAATCGTCGGGGCTTTTGGCGTGGGGGTCTGGAGGGGTTGGGGCAGAACCTGCAGGAATCATCGGGGAATTTGGTGTGGGGTTAAGGAGGGTTTGGGGCAAAACCTGCAGGAATCGGGGCTGTTTTCATGGGATTAAGGAGGGTTTGGGGCAAAACCTGCAGGAATTGGGGCTTTTGCTGTGGGGTTCTGGAGGGTTTGGGGCACAACCTGCGGGAATCGTCGGGGCTTTTGGCGTGGGGTTCTGGAGGGTTTGGGGCAGAACCTGCAGGAATTGGGGCTTTTTTCATGGGAAAAAGGAGGGTTTGGGGCAAAACCTGCAGGAATCATCGGGGCTTTTGCTGTGGGATTCTGGAGGCTTTTGAGGTTTTTCAATGGAATTCCTGGGATTTGGGGCACAACCTGCAGGAATTGGGGCTTTTGCTGTGGGATTAAGGAGGGTTTGGGGCAGAACCTGCAGGAATCATCGGGGATTTTGGCGTGGGGTTAAGGAGGGTGTGGGGCACAACCTGCGGGAATTGGGGCTTTTTGGGGCGGAACCTGCAGGAATTGGGGCTTTTGCTGTGGGATTAAGGAGGGTTTGGGGCAGAACCTGCAGGAATCGGGGCTTTTGCTGTGGGGTTCTGGAGGGTTTTGAGGTTTTTCCATGGAATTCCTGGGATTTGGGGCAAAACCTTCAGGAATTGGGGCTTTTTCCATGGGATTCCAGAGGGGTTTTGGGTTTTTTTCTTGGAATTCCTGGGGTTTTAGGGGAATCTCTGTGGTTTAACTGCTGTGGGATTGTGGTGTGGAGTGGATATTCCATGTGTTTTGGGAATTTGGGAAGGATAATTCCATGCTTTCCGTCCCTCAGGAAGGAAAATGGGAAGCAGAGAAGGTGATTGAGGTGCCCAACAAGAAAGTGCAAGGATGGCTCCTCCCAGAAATGCCAGGTCAGTGGGAGAAATTTGGGAAAAATTTGGGAATTTTCTTGTGGATCCAGAGCAGATTTTGGTGGAATTCTATGCTTAAATGGCAAAAAATTCCAAATGTTGGGGTCTTTTTGAGGGAGAATTTTGGGATGAGCAAAGGAACCCCAGAGTGGGATCTGCTCTGTGCTGGGGGTGGGATTTTCCAGGAAAATCCTTGGAATTTGGGTCTGGGTTTGCTCAGGAATGAGCCTGGGAATGCTGGAGAGACTTGGAACAATTACCAAGGTTGATGTCCCACGAAAATCCTTTGAATTTGCATTTGAATTGGCTCCATCCTTTTTTTCTCCATAAAAATCCCTGGAATTTGGGTCTGGATTTCCTCAGGAATTCTGGAAGTTCCCCCGGGAATTCAGGAATAATTTCCGACGTTGACTTTGTCCCTCCCACTCCTTCCCCACCCCATTTTTTGGCATTTCCACGCGGGAACTTGGGGATTTCTGGGATTCTCTCAGCTGCCATTCCCTGATTTTTCTCTGGAATTCCCTCGGGAAGGGCTGATCACGGATATCCTGATTTCCCTGGACGACAGATTCCTGTACTTCAGCTGCTGGCTCCACGGGGACGTGCGCCAGTACGACATCTCCGACCCCAAAAACCCCAAACTGGTGGGGCAGGTGAGGAAGGAATTCCCAAAAAAACCCAATTCCCGCGGTTTTCAAGGGATTCACTCCGTTTTCCCATGGATTTGAATGGTTTTCCAGGTTTTTCTGGGAGGCAGCATCTCCAAAGGGGGAGGTGTGACCGTGGTGGAGGATCGGGAATTGCAGGATCAGCCGGAGCCGTGCGTGATCCAGGTGAAGATTCCCAAATTTTTTTTCCCCGATTCTTCCCAGATTTTTGGAGATTCCCGACATCCAAAACCCCTCCTGAGGTTGTTCCCACCTGGATTTTCCTTCTTTAGGGATAGGTTACATCCCAGAAATCCCAATTTTTTCTCGGGAAAAAAGCATGGAATTAAGAAATTTGAGGAAAAATTCACGGATATTCCACTTCAACCATTAATTGATGGTTTTTCCATGGGAAATTCTAAGATGGGGAATAAAAAAATCTCTTGGACACCCCCAGGACAAGGAAACTCTGGAATTTTCACCCCTGGAATTCTAGGAAAATCTCTTGGGGAAGTGAGGATGGGACAAAAAGAACCAGAAAAGGGAATTCCTGCCAAAAAATGGGAAAAACCCTTGGATTTGGTGTCTCCCGTGGGGTTTTTCCAACCTTAAGCATTCCAGAATCCTCTAAAAAAAATTCCAGAGCATTCCAAACCCTTCATCCTTTATTCCCTGACTCATCTCCAGCCATTCCAGTACTCCCATCCTGAGGCAAAAATTCCCCAAAAATTCCTTTTTCTCCCCAAAACTGAGGATTGGCCGCTCCTGACTCGGAGATTTTGTAGCCCCTGGATGGTTTTTTCCCAAAAAAATTCCATTTACTCCCCAAAACTGAGGATTTGCTGCTCCTGAATCCGGGATTTCGGAGCCCCTGGATGGCTTTTTCCCAAATAAATTCCATTTACTCCCCAAAACTGAGGATTTGCTGCTCCTGAATCCGGGATTTCGGAGCCCCTGGATGTTTTTTTCCCCCAAAAACTCCCAAAAAATTCCATTTTTCCCCCAAAGCTGTGGATTGGCCGCTCCCCACTCGGGGATTTCAGAGCCCCTGGATGGTTTTTTCCCCAAAAACTCCCCAAAAATTCAAATTTTTTCCCCAAAACTGAGGATTGGCCGCTCCTGAATCTGGAATTTCGGAGCCCCTGGATGTTTTTTTCCCCCAAAAACTCCCAAAAAATTCCATTTTTCCCCCAAAGCTGTGGATTGGCCGCTCCCCACTCGGGGATTTCAGAGCCCCTGGATGGTTTTTTCCCCCACAAACTCCCCAAAAATTCCATTTTCCCCCCCAAAGCTGAGGATTGGCCCCTCCCCACGCGGTAACTTTGGAACCCCTGGATGGTTTTTTCCCCAAAAATTCCATTTTTTTCCCCAAAACTGAGGATTGGCCGCTCCTGAATCTGGAATTTCGGAGCCCCTGGATGTTTTTTTCCCCCAAAAACTCCCAAAAAATTCCATTTTTCCCCCAAAGCTGTGGATTGGCCGCTCCCCACTCGGGGATTTCAGAGCCCCTGGATGGTTTTTTCCCCCACAAACTCCCCAAAAATTCCATTTTCCCCCCCAAAGCTGAGGATTGGCCCCTCCCCACGCGGTAACTTTGGAACCCCTGGATGGTTTTTTCCCCAAAAATTCCATTTTTTTCCCCAAAACTGAGGATTGGCCGCTCCTGAATCTGGAATTTCGGAGCCCCTGGATGTTTTTTTCCCCCAAAAACTCCCAAAAAATTCCATTTTTCCCCCAAAGCTGTGGATTGGCCGCTCCCCACTCGGGGATTTCAGAGCCCCTGGATGGTTTTTTCCCCCACAAACTCCCCAAAAATTCCATTTTCCCCCCCAAAGCTGAGGATTGGCCCCTCCCCACGCGGTAACTTTGGAACCCCTGGATGGTTTTTTCCCCAAAAATTCCATTTTTTTCCCCAAAACTGAGGATTGGCCGCTCCTGAATCTGGAATTTCGGAGCCCCTGGATGTTTTTTTCCCCCAAAAACTCCCAAAAAATTCCATTTTTCCCCCAAAGCTGTGGATTGGCCGCTCCCCACTCGGGGATTTCAGAGCCCCTGGATGGTTTTTTCCCCAAAAATTCCATTTTTTTCCCCAAAACTGAGGATTTGCTGCTCCTGAATCTGGGATTTCGGAGCCCCTGGATGGTTTTTTCCCCCACAAACTCCCCAAAAATTCCATTTTCCCCCCCAAAGCTGAGGATTGGCCCCTCCCCACTCAGTAACTTTGGAACCCGTGGATGGGTTTTTCCCCAAAAACTGCCGAAAAACTCCATTTTCCCCCCAAAGCTGAGGATTGGCCCCTCCCCACTCAGTAACTTTGGAACCCGTGGATGCGTTTTTCCCCAAAAACTCCATTTTCCCCCCAAAGCTGAGGATTGGCCCCTCCCCACTCAGTAACTTTGGAACCCGTGGATGCGTTTTTCCCCAAAAACTCCATTTTCCCCCCAAAGCTGAGGATTGGCCCCTCCCCACTCGGTAACTTCGGAACCCCTGGATGTTTTTCCCAATCCCAGGGGAAGAGGATCCCGGGGGGGCCGCAGATGCTGCAGCTGAGCCTGGACGGGCGCCGGCTCTACGTCACCACGTCGCTGTTCAGCGCCTGGGACCGGCAGTTCTACCCCAGCCTGCTCACGTGAGCCCCCTGCCGGGCACTCCGGGGGTCTGCCGCCCGCTGCTTGGGTCATGGGGGGTCGAGAACCGCTTCTGGTTACTGCTTGTTAGCTGGTTATCCATCGGTAATGGCTGGGCTTTCATTGGTGCTTAAATGGCGGTTAGTTGGTGGTTAACTGGTTGTTAGTTGATGGTTAAATGGTTATTAGTTGGTGCTGAAATGGTTGTTAGTTGATGGTTAGCTGGTTGTTAGTTGATGGTTAACTGGTTGTTAGTTGATGGTTAAATGGTTATTAATTGGTGCTTAAATGGCGGTTAGTTGATGGTTAAATGGTTGTTAGCTGATGGTTAACTGGTTGTTAGTTGATGGTTAAATGGTGGTTAGTTGATGGTTAACTGGTTGTTAGCTGATGGTTAAATGGTTATTAATTGGTGCTTAAATGGTGGTTAGTTGGTGGTTAACTGGTTGTTAGCTGATGGTTAAATGGTTGTTAGTGGATGGTTAAATGGTTGTTAGTGGATGGTTAAATGGCTGTTAGTTGATGGTTAAATGGTTGTTAGTTGATGGTTAACTGGTTGTTAGTTGATGGTTAAATGGTTATTAATTGGTGCTTAAATGGTTGTTAGTTGATGGTTAAATGGTTGCTAGTTGATGGTTGGTTAAATGGTTGCTAGTTGATGGTTAAATGGTTATTAATTGCTTGCTGATTGGTCCTTAATTGGTCATGCATTGATTAATAATCTGTATTTGTCAATTATTAACAATTAATAACAATAATTAATAATTAATTCATAACCAATTAAATTTTGTTAATTCCAAATGTTGGGCTCTTTTTGAGGGGGAACTTTGGGGTGAATTTTGGGTTATTAGTTGATGATTAACTCTGTCATTTTAATCACATCAGCCCAGCCTTTCCCTGCCCCAGCCCCTTTTCCCGGTTCCTGTTTTAATTCCCGCGTTTTCCCGGTGTTGCAGGGAGGGCTCGGTGCTGCTGCAGCTGGACGTGGACACGGAGCGCGGCGGCCTGGCCGTCAATCCCAAATTCCTGCTGGATTTCGGGAAGGAGCCGGGCGGGCCCTGCCTGGCGCACGAGGTGCGCTACCCGGGGGGGGACTGCACCTCCGACATCTGGCTGTGACCCCGGAATGTTCCGGAATGTTCCGGAATCATCGGGAATGGGGGGAATGGGGGGATGTGGGACTGCACCTCCGACATCTGGCTGTGACCCCGGAATGTTCCGGAATGTTCCGGAATCATCGGGAATGGGGGGAATGGGGGGATGTGGGACTGCACCTCCGACATCTGGCTGTGACCCCGGAATGTTCCGGAATGTTCCGGAATCATCGGGAATGGGGGGAATGGGGGGATGTGGGACTGCACCTCCGACATCTGGCTGTGACCCCGGAATGTTCCGGAATGTTCCGGAATCATCGGGAATGGGGGGAATGGGGGGATGTGGGACTGCACCTCCGACATCTGGCTGTGACCCCGGAATGTTCCGGAATGTTCCGGAATCATCGGGAATGGGGGGAATGGGGGGATGTGGGACTGCACCTCCGACATCTGGCTGTGACCCCGGAATGTTCCGGAATGTTCCGGAATCATCGGGAATGGGGGGAATGGGGGGATGTGGGACTGCACCTCCGACATCTGGCTGTGACCCCGGAATGTTCCGGAATGTTCCGGAATCATCGGGAATGGGGGGAATGGGGGGATGTGGGACTGCACCTCCGACATCTGGCTGTGACCCCGGAATGTTCCGGAATGTTCCGGAATCATCGGGAATGGGGGGAATGGGGGGATGTGGGACTGCACCTCCGACATCTGGCTGTGACCCCGGAATGTTCCGGAATGTTCCGGAATCATCGGGAATGGGGGGAATGGGGGGATGTGGGACTGCACCTCCGACATCTGGCTGTGACCCCGGAATGTTCCGGAATGTTCCGGAATCATCGGGAATGGGGGGAATGGGGGGATGTGGGACTGCACCTCCGACATCTGGCTGTGACCCCGGAATGTTCCGGAATGTTCCGGAATCATCGGGAATGGGGGGAATGGGGGGATGTGGGACTGCACCTCCGACATCTGGCTGTGACCCCGGAATGTTCCGGAATGTTCCGGAATCATCGGGAATGGGGGGAATGGGGGGATGTGGGACTGCACCTCCGACATCTGGCTGTGACCCCGGAATGTTCCGGAATGTTCCGGAATCATCGGGAATGGGGGGAATGGGGGGATGTGGGACTGCACCTCCGACATCTGGCTGTGACCCCGGAATGTTCCGGAATGTTCCGGAATCATCGGGAATGGGGGGAATGGGGGGATGTGGGACTGCACCTCCGACATCTGGCTGTGACCCCGGAATGTTCCGGAATGTTCCGGAATCATCGGGAATGGGGGGAATGGGGGGATGTGGGACTGCACCTCCGACATCTGGCTGTGACCCCGGAATGTTCCGGAATGTTCCGGAATCATCGGGAATGGGGGGAATGGGGGGATGTGGGACTGCACCTCCGACATCTGGCTGTGACCCCGGAATGTTCCGGAATGTTCCGGAATCATCGGGAATGGGGGGAATGGGGGGATGTGGGACTGCACCTCCGACATCTGGCTGTGACCCCGGAATGTTCCGGAATGTTCCGGAATCATCGGGAATGGGGGGAATGGGGGGATGTGGGACTGCACCTCCGACATCTGGCTGTGACCCCGGAATGTTCCGGAATGTTCCGGAATCATCGGGAATGGGGGGAATGGGGGGATGTGGGACTGCACCTCCGACATCTGGCTGTGACCCCGGAATGTTCCGGAATGTTCCGGAATCATCGGGAATGGGGGGAATGGGGGGATGTGGGACTGCACCTCCGACATCTGGCTGTGACCCCGGAATGTTCCGGAATGTTCCGGAATCATCGGGAATGGGGGGAATGGGGGGATGTGGGACTGCACCTCCGACATCTGGCTGTGACCCCGGAATGTTCCGGAATGTTCCGGAATCATCGGGAATGGGGGGAATGGGGGGATGTGGGACTGCACCTCCGACATCTGGCTGTGACCCCGGAATGTTCCGGAATGTTCCGGAATCATCGGGAATGGGGGGAATGGGGGGATGTGGGACTGCACCTCCGACAGCTCGCTGTGATCCCAGGAAATTCAGGATTTATCCCATTTTTTCCTGCTCCTTTCCTCTCTCCATCCCCTTTTCCCAGGGAATTTGGGGTGCCTGGGGCTTCATCTGCTCCCAAAATTCCCATTCCGTAGCAGTCTCTCCTAAAAATCATCTCTGATATTTCTGATCAAAAATCAAAAATCCCAATAAAATTCTCCTTCCAGCAGGTAAAATGGCTTTTTTCTTTTGGGGCTTTTGGGCATTTTTGGCATTTTTGGTTAAAAAAACCATGTCACTTGCCAACATTTTTCCACCTTGTTTGTTGTATAGAGATAAGATAGGGATAAAAAGGGAATAGATAAGAAAAAAATACAAAATAAATAGGGATAAAATAGGGGGAAATATAGATAAAATAGAGGCAGAAATAGATAAAAACAAGGATAAAAGAGAGGGGAAAAATAGGGATAAATCAGAGGTAAAATAGGGAGAAAGCAGAAATAAAATTGAGAAAAATAGGGAAAAAATTGATGGAAAAATGGGGATAAAATGGCCAGCTGGAAGCGAAGCCCCGGGAAAAGAGGCAGCGCCGGGAATTCCTCCGGAGCCTCCCGCAGCCCGGCCCGGGCATTGTCCCGGCCCCGCCGCCGCCCTCGGCCCCGGGGCTTAGCCCCCCTGGCTGGGCTCAGGCCGTGCCCGGCCAGGCCGGACCCCCTTGGGCTGAGCTCAGCCGGGCTCTGCTCCATCCCCCCCGGCCGGGAGCGGCTCCGGGGGGGTCGCGGCCCCTTCCCCACGCCCGCCCGGGCCCGGGAGCCTTCGGCAGCCGGGAGTGGCTCACTTGATCAGGCTGGGGTAGAACTGCCGGTCCCAGGTGCTGTAGAAGGAGTTGGTCACGTAGAGCCGCTTCCCGTCCAGGCTCAGCTGCAGCGTGGCGGGGCCGCCGTACACGCGCTTGCACTGGGACACACGGACTGGGCTTAC